GTACAGACAACATAGTGTTGGGTTAAAAATGTCAAAACCATACCATTTATCTAATTAAAACATACACAAACTGAAAGCACTGCTACTTACTGCCCAGTAATGAGCACATATTTGGATGACATCACATGTGCTGCAGTCATCTTCTGTTGAGCATTTGGTGCCTGGGTAGATGTGCTTTGGAAGCAGATTTTTAGGGAGGCAAAACTGTCAAGTCATGGGATGGAGCAGAGGAGAGAAGCCTGGTACACAGATCTATTATGTTAACGTGTGGTCGCTGCGGGCCCCCAGGGAGAATACACCATGGAGCTGCTGAGCATTTGAAAGGAAGCTGCTGGGAGAATGTAAAATCCAGGCTGGGAAGAGACAAGAAAGCCACAACTTGTGTTGATCAACCTGGGAAAACTTCCTGGAAGAAGAGGGCTTTTCCCCATGATGGCATTGGGTGCCTTCTGTAGCCAGGCTAGAGTGCCCTCTGGTGGAAACAGTGTGGGAGTCCAGGAGAGTCTTCTGCACCTCTGCAGCAGAGCAGTGACTCACACAGCCCCAGGGACTTCTCTGGGCTACAAAAGTTAGGGTTTTGGTCTGTAAAATGGGTTGCACGTCCTGTGGTTGTGCTGAAACTGGAGGAGCTCCTGGAATAAGACAGGAAAGGGGTAATTATCAGTGTTTTGGGGCCAAGTTTTCTTCCTGTTTCTCTCCTGAAGTTCCTCCTTCTCTGGCAAGCTGCTGAGCTGCTGGAGTTGGGGAACTCTGAAGGGCATTGTCTCCCACGGCACCCTCCAGACAGCTAGCTGCCTCCTGTCTCATGGGCCAGGTTGACAGTCCTGGAAATGTTCCTTAAGTAGACCCCAAAGCTGAGTCCCTGTAACTTCAGTCCACTGGTGTCCTCCATGTCTTTGGGCATCTGTTCCCAGCTGCCTCACTTAGCACCTGTGGGTGCACATCCCCTCTCTCTGTCCCAAGACAGACACCAAATGTCCTCTCCTTCAGGACTCCTCAAAGGGCTGGGCCTCAGGGCCTCCCCGCTGGTGCTGTCTTGGCCAGCAGTGACCCTCCAGAAGCAGTGAGAAGGCTCAGGTCGGTCATGCCCCCTCCTGTGTGGCCTGAGCAGCAGAGGGCACCGGTGGCCACTGCTCTGGACACTGCATGGCTGAGTGCTGCCTAAGAGAGCAGGAGCTCCTAGAGAGAGAAAAATGAGTGCTGCCCAGACTACACAACTGTTTTTTGTTTGTTTTTTAGTTTTATTATTTTTTAAAATTTTCTTTATTGATTAAGGTATCACATATTTGTCCTCATCCCCCCATTCCCACCTCACACCCCTCCCCATGCATGCCCCCACTCCCCTGTTGTCCGTGACCACTGGTTAGGCTCATATGTATATACACAAGTCCTTTGGTTGGTCTCTCCCCTTTATCCCCATCCTCCCCTACACTCCCTCACAACTGTTGGTTTTTAAAGTTGCTAAGTGTTGGGTGGTTTATTACACAGCCAAGTTAGCTCCTGGCTGGATTCCATAATTTACAATCACTCTTGATTATTAGAATCATCTCATTCCAGAGTTTAAGAAGTTCTAGCCTCATTGTAAAATTTCAGGTCTGAGCTCTGCTCAAACCTTTTCTCTCTCCCCACCCTTAAGCCACCTCCCACGACTGGCTGGCCTGTTTCTGGTTTTAACGCTCAGCTCAGTGGGGTGGGGTCTTTCATCACAAACTCCCACCTCCTTCTTTTTTTGAGATTTCTCACCCCCAGCTGCCTCAGGGGAGGTGTTGTCAATCAGGCCCTGCCTAAGTGGCCGCTGTGGGGGCAGCAGGCTCTAAAGTGGGGTGGTGGCACCACAAGTCCGACGTTCCAGGGTTGATTCCCATAAAGTCCCCCAGCACTGGTGCTGCCTTGCAACGTTTGGCCATATCTTGTGCGCTGTGTCTCTCATCTCCACCTCCCACCCCCTTATGCTGCTGATACTTGCCAGACTGCGATGCTTCCAGCTCAGCTTTCCTCCCAGACCATCTTTGGGACCTGTGACCATGAGGAGAGGTAGCCAGGTCCAACGTGTAGCTCTCTTAGAACTTGGGCAGACTAGCTGCCAGCCTGGGAATCATCATCTTGACTCCTCTCCTGTCTCCAACATCTAGTAAATTGGCAGGCCCTTCTCATACCTCGTGGCTGATTCCATTTCTTTCCATTTCTCCAACACTGATTTAGCTCAGGCCCATGTCATTTTACATTTCATTTCAAGTGATAGCTTGCTAACTGGACTTTCTGCCTTATGTTATGTCCCTACATCTGTTCTTCATCCCACTACTTAGTTGATTTGGTCATCCATCCATCCATCCATCTATCCATCCATCCATCCATCCATCCATCCATCCATCCATCCATCCTTCTATCCATCCTAACCCACCTCTGTATGTAACCATCAGAGGAAATCCTGTACTGTTGATGGGACAAAGGCCATATTCCTAGAAGAGGCACACAGTGCTCCTGTCTTGGCCCTACCTATGCTTCCAACCTCACTTGTCTTCACTTTTCAAGTTCCCTGTGCTCCTGCCATGCTCCGCTCGCTGCTCTGACCCTGAGTGGTGCACTCTTGCTCATGCCTCCACACCTTTATGCACTCTATCCCCTGGGTTTGGGAACTAAAGGTGGCAAGTTTCAGCTTTCCTTCCCACATGTGTTAAGTGAGGCAGTTGGGAACAGGTGGAATCCAGCCAGGAACTCAAGGCTGGGTTCAGGTCCTGTTTCCTTTCAACAGAGTGGAGTATGTGTCTATTATCACACTGCAGATCAGCGATTTCAACCCTTTTCATCTCATGGCACACATAAATGAATTACTAAAAGTCTGTGGCACACCGAAAAGTACATATTTTTTTCCCTCCTATCTGACAAAAATAGGTATAATTTTGATTGGTTTACAAAAAAGGTCACAATAGTGATTACCTACCCTTTTTGCTCCAAAGTGTCTTTTTAAAAAAATCAGATGTCTATACTTGTATATAAGGATTTCTGGTACCAAGAACTAACCAATCAGACGCAACCTCTTTATGTGATGTGACTAAGAAGATGCAACTCTATTACATGACCTTTATATTTATGGTTCAAGACAGGGCATTCACACCAGACAGCTATTGTTGTATTGGCTGTTTGCCTTTTTTAAATTTGATAATGTAAGGGACAAGATGTCAGGTATTGCATGTTTTAAAATTCTTGTGATACACTGGTTGAAAATTGCTGCTGTAGATGTTTGATTTCTCCATCTTGACCAGTAATTAGGCTGTGAGCTTCTTAAAGATAGAGAGCGAGGTAGGAGAATGAGTATTCAGTGGCCACCATGCTTCCCTAAGCCACAGAGCACGGGGAGAGTTGGCAGAGAAGCCCGAGACCCTTGTGTGGCCATAAGACCCTTGCCAGATACATTCAGGTGCTTGGGAAAGGCTTGCTGCCAAAAAGGCACGCTGGGTAGCGCGGCCTTGGCAGGGTCCGAACAGGGTTCTCTGGCAGCTGTGATGTCTGTTGACAGGGCCTTTCACACTCCAGCCTCTGTGATTTTCTAGCTGAGGAGTCTGGCTAGGAATTGCCAACTTCCCTCCAGAAGCAGAGCACAGCAGGAGATTCAAGCTGAGATCTCCCCCGCCCCCCTTGCTCCCCTCGCCAAGCCCTTTTCCTGTAGAGGGGCATTCTGGAAGATTCTTTCTTGTTCTTGTCTTGGTGCACAGAGGTTCTCTGCAAAGAGTGCTTCACTCAAGGGCCTGGGGAACTGGCCTCTGGCATAACGGTAGCCTTGACAAAGCAGTGCTCTCCCCACTGGGCTGCATTTCCACCCACTCTTTCTGTGTCTGACAAGGAGGCACCTGTAAGATGAAGATGGGAGGCCAGAGGTGAGCAGCCCCAGTGGAGGGCCTGGGCTTTGCAAGGGATCTCAAGAGCTGGCTGATTTCTCTGGTTCCACCCCCTGCCTCTGGCCTCTCTGCCAACTCTCCCCGTCCTCTGGGACCTGCCTAGGTCTCCCTTCTTCCTGATCCTCCACTGCCATGAGTGGCCTGAGAAACCAAGAGCATGCCATCTGCCTGGCCAGTCACCTTTCCATCTCGCCATGGATCTTTCCTGCTCCCGTCTGGTCTCCCCCTGAGTCCCAACTTCCTCAAGGGCAAACTCTGCCCACCCAGCTTGGTTTTCCTCAGCATCTATATTAGTGCCTTGTTCTTGTTCTGCTGGGACATTAGCACTTGCCTTGAATGAAGGCACCTCCTCCGGGCTGCTCCTACACCTGGCCAATATTTGGAGACTAGATGGAGAACCTCTCCAGCTATTGGCCACTCCCCCTTGCGTCTAGTCTATCCAACTCAAGCAGTGCTTCCCGAGGACCTGATATGTGCTGGTTGCCATGTTGAAGATAAGCGCAGATAAGACTTGGTTTCTGAATTGAAGGGGCAGTACCAATGGCAATGACTCTGCTATAAGATGGGATGCGGTTCAGAGCAATAATAGGAAAAGGCTTGAAGAGGCTCACGCTGTATGTGCTCATTTGGGAGGATGAGCCAGGAGTCTTTGCAGCCTTAGGAGGGGTGTGGGATCTGGGTGGAAATACGGCCAGTGGGACCTTGATGGGACATGGGACCCTTCAATTCCCAGGAATGTACTGGCCCAGGCCTCCACTTGCCTGTGTGGGATAATGACCTGAGGCCTACTCACAGGGCTAGAAGGGAATTGGGGTTGAAAAGATATGTCTAGGCCTGTGGGGTGGAACAGGCCAGGGACAGGCTTATTGGGGTTCAGGGTCTGGTGAATTAAAGGTGGCAAGTTTCAGCTTTCCTTCTCAGCTTGCCCCTGGGGGTGATTCCCACGCTCATAAATGGAATTAATAACTTTCTCTTGCCTTTCATGCTGTCGGGAGGCCTGTCGTCTGCCCTATAAAAGGCAGGAGCACTCACAGGTTTCTGGGGGTGAGACCTGGTGTCCTTCAGTCCTTCCTCTTCCCCTGGCACTGTCCACAGAGCAGAGGCATGGCGAGCCGGTCCTACCGCATCAGCTCTGGCTACGGGGCCAGGAATTTTAGCTCCTGCTCTGCCATCATGCCCAAGCCCGGGGCTCACAGCTGTGCCAGTGCCATGGCCTACCAAGGGGGCAGTCCTGGAGGCCCCGGCTACAGGCGCCTTGGGGGCTTTGGCAGCCGGAGTCTCTGTGCAGTGGGGTCCCCGCGGATCGCAGTGAGTTGTGCGCGCCCCCTACGCAGTGGGGGAAACTTCGGCTACAGAGCTGGGGGCCTTTGTGGGCCCAGCCCGCCCTGCATCACCACCGTGTCCATCAACGAGAGCCTTCTCACGCCCCTCAACTTGGAGATCGACCCCAATGCGCAGTGCATCAAGCATGAGGAGAAGGAGCAGATTAAGTGTCTTAACAACAAGTTTGCTTCTTTCATCGACAAGGTGGGTCTGTGGGTTGTCCCCTGGGCAATGGCTTAGGCAGGGGCAAGGGACTTGGAACCCAATGACTGACTGAGTTCAAATTCTCAGGGTCCCAGCCCTGCTACTGATGAGTACGCAGCCTTGAGAACGTGGCTGCATCAGGATCTCAGTTTTCAAATGTTGTGTTGAGAGTCAAAATTGCAACAATGGATGGGAAACCACTGGCCAGAACAGGAAGGGATATTGCTGCTACTTACCCTGCTCAGCAAGAGTGAATGTGTGTCTGGGGCCCCATCCTCTGGATCTCGGCCATCACACAGTAAGGGGTGGATGGGTAAGCTACTCTGTTTAGGTTGGTGTCTGACCCATCCCCAGCAGGGAGAGGGGGCCAGGATAGGAAGGGGCCAGAAGCTCCTTTCCTGTAGGGACATCTTCGAAGGCTGGGAGTTCCTAGGACTTCTGCCCTAGGTGCCCTCCCTAACCCAGCACTTCCATTGATGAAAGACAGTGAGTTGAGAAACTTCAGGGCGGTCCAGGAGGGGCTGTTGAATTGCACTTTTCCGATGTGGCAATATCAGAGCTCTCCTTGTGGCTGGATACACAGATCCGGTTTCCTTTGACCCAGTGATGCCCCCTCTGGGAGCCTGGAATCTGATCTTTGGGGGAGAACAGCCCCTGGAATCTCAGGGAGGAAAAGCTCACCTTCCAGGGTGGAGTGGTGTGCACAGCCTGCATTGGAAGGTGCACACCGGCTGCTATGAGTGGGAACTCTGCTCTCAGACAAACACCATCAGAAATGGGCGTATCTGCAAGGGAAGGTGCTGTGCATCCATTCTTAACACGCTCCTGGCTGTCCAAACCACTCTTCCCTCACATCGGCACACAGAAGCTGACCCTGGGACCATGCAGGTTGTTCATTGCATAGGGACATCCACCGAGATTGGGGAGGAGAGGTTGAAATCCAGCTATTGCTCTGTTCACCAGGCTGTGTGCCCTGGAAGGGGCTGCATCTGCCTGGAGGGGCACCTTTTCCTAATTTGCTCGGTGAGGACCCTGAACACGCAGACTTGAAAGGGATCTTCGCATGTGGCCTTTTGGGCATCAACTCAAGTATACCACTCTGTTGGGAAGGGTCAATTCCTCTCCTGGGGTTGCTGACAGCCTCTTACCTCCTTCCAGCGTTCTTCCTCCAGGATGCATTCCTGGTGTGCCAAGTTCATCGCTGTGGTGGGTTCAAGCCTGTAGAGCAGGCAGGCCAGAAAGCTGCCCTCACAACCTGGGCCTGCATGTGGAGAACCAAGGCAGATGCCTTTTGGATAGTCAGGGTTTGGGTTCCTTTTCCCACAAAAATGGGCCATTGAGAGTTGCTTCACAACAGCTTGTTCTCTCAGAAGTTTCGGACTTGAGAGGAGAACCTAGTTTAGGGCTGGCAGCTTCATGGTGCCTGGGGAATGAAGCCAAGCTGAGAGGCATGCCACCTACAGGGGCAGCTGCTGCCTCTCACTCCAAACACAGGCCCAGCATTGCCCAAGCATCCGGTTCATCAAGGTCAGGGAAATCCGGATATTTGCCTGAAGTCACTCAATTATTAAATGTTGGCAGTTAATCAGATTTTTGTGCAGCCAAATAACACATGCCTGTGGGCCAGATAGGGTCTGTGTATATTGCTGACGTGTTCTCATTGCCTCAGTTTACCTTGAGGCTCAGAGAGAATGAGGCATGGTGGCTTGTTTGGCAGCGAGAGATCTCCTGACTTCTGGTCCAGGGTTCCCCCTCCTGGCTCCTGCACTCCAGAGTCAGAGTGAGGGAGGGTCATGGTGAGTGCATTTAAACATTATTTCCATAAGAAAAAGGAATTCCTCATGCAGGGAATGCAGTCTGGTGCAGCCACTGTGGAGAACAGTATGGAGCTTCCTCAAAAAATTAACAATGGAGCTCCCATTTGACCCAGTGATTCTACTTCTAGGAATGTATCCCAATAAATCAGAAACACCAATCAGAAAGGACATATGCACCCCTATGTTCATAGCAGCACAATTCACCATAGGTAAGATTTGGAAACAGCCTAAGTGCCCATCAGCAGATGAGTGGATTAAAAAACAGTGGTACATTTGCACATTGGAATACTATGCCGCTATAAACAAGAAGGAATTATTACCATTTGTAACAGCATGAATGGAACTGGAGAACATTATGCTAAGCAAATAAGCCAGAGAAAGATAAATATCATATGATATCACTTATTTGTGGAATATAATGAACAACATAAACTGATGAACAAAAATAGATCCAGAGACAGAGAAGTATCAAACAGACTGTCAAACCTCAGAGGGAAGACAGGGGAAGAGGTGGGGGAGGTAAGCGATCAACCAAAGGACTTGTATGCATGCATATTAGCATAACCAGTGGACACAGACACTAGTGGGGTAAGGACATGTGCTGGGGAGTGGGGATGGCCAGGAAGAGGTCAATGGGGGGAAAAAGGAGACATATGTAATAACTTTAAACAATAAAGTATTAAAAAAATAAAAATCACTGCCATGAAAATGCCCACAAACTTAGCATCTTAAAACAACATGCATTTATCTCATGAGGCTGAAACCAAGCCATCAGGAGGGCTGCATTTCCTTCTGGAGGCCCTCTTCCAGGGACACCCAGGCAGAACTGAGTTCCGTGTGGAGGTCGGACTGAGGTCCCTGTTCCCTTGCTGGCTGATTGACAGGCAGGTATTCTCAGTCTCTAGAGGCTGCCTGTCTCCTAGACTCATAGCCCTTTCTCCATCTTCAAAGCTGCTGATAGTGGTCGCATGCTTCTCACTTCTCTGTTTGAACCCTCGCTTCTGCCTCCTTCTGGGCATCTCTCTCATCCTTCTGCCTCTCTCTTCCACTTTGAAAGGCAACTACTGTGGGAGTCACCTGGATAATTTAGGATAATCTCCTGATCTTCTGTTCATAACCTTAATTGCATCTGCAAGACCCCTCTCACCAGGTAATGCAACTTATTTATAGGTTCTAGGGTTAGGGCATGGCCATCTTTGAGGGGCCATTTTTTACCTACCACATGTAGTTTGTGGTATTTTTTTTTCAGGATCAGATGTTATTTTATTCTGTGCAGAATTAACAAATCCCAAATAAATTGTGAGCTTTTTCTGGGAGATGGGGGAGGGATGTTATTTGGGGAACAATGGTGAACTGTTCTTTCAGACTTTCTAAATGATTTGATCTTTGGGGGAAGGTTACAGCTGCTACAGGTCAGGGGCTATCCCAAAAGGCAGAGAGAGTTCCGGGGGACCAGAAACCTCCCTAGACTGCCCACTGAGTCTCTTTTCTTCATCCTTGGCGACAGGTGCGCTTCCTGGAGCAGCAGAACAAGCTGCTGGAGACCAAGTGGCAGTTCTACCAGAACCGCAAGTGCTGTGAGAGCAACCTGGAGCCGCTGTTCAGTGGCTACATGGAGACGCTGAGGCGGGAGACTGAGTGTGTGCAGGCCGACAGTGGGAGGCTGGCCTCTGAGCTCAACCACGTGCAGGAGGTGCTGGAGGGCTACAAGAAGAGGTAAGCATGACAGGGCCAGGGGGTGGTTATAGGCCAGGTGGGGTAGGTCCAAGCTGAGTCAATACAACTATCCTGGAGGCAGACATGATTGAAGTTCAGGGTCCTTTCAGGCTACCAATCAGGTGGTTTGCATCATCTGTTCGCTCCATCTTTTCTGGGCTCCCAACTCCTGCAGCTTATCTTGGGGACTTAGCAACAATCTGGAGAGAAGGGGTGCTCCCAGCCAAAACCAGTTTAGCTCAATGGATAGAGCGTCTGCTTGGGGACTGAAGGGACCTGGGTTCGATTCCGGTCAAGGGCATGTACTTTGGTTGCTGGCACATCCTCAGTAGGGGGTGTGCAAGAGGCAGCTGATCGATGACTCTCTCTCATCGATGTTTCTAACTCTCTATCTCTCTCCCTTCCTCTCTGTACAAAACCAATAAAATATATTTAAAAAAAAGAAAGGAAAAAAAAGAAGGGGTGCTCCCAGCTGGGAGGGATGTGGCATACGCCCAGGGCACAGACTGACCCAGAGATGGAGAGAGAGAGAGCAAATAAAACAGGAGGACCATGGTCAATAGGGCTGGAAAGCAGAACATGGGAGCAGCAGTCATAAAAGATCCTAGAAGAGAATTCTTGAAAATGATCAGGCCAATGCCATTAAAGATATCTGATGAAATTGGGTACTTCTTTTATGTAGGCTGCAGATAAATCATTAGGCTTTTGTTATGCAAGGCTCTACAATTCAAAGGTCCAGGTACATCTTTTATATTAACCTGACTTGTTTAGTTTGGCCATTATCTAGTTTTACTCGCTGGATCACTTATCTTGCCCCACTTCATCTGGTAGACACGAACACGCTGAAAGGTGATTTTGACATAATCAGCTCTGGTAATTCTAATTGAAATTCTGGCCTTGGAAGGTCAGGTTTTACGAACAGATGGACCCAGCATTAGGTCTCCACTTCCCTTGGGGGGATGCAAATGCAGACACAGTTCTGTTTGCAGGTGCCAAAGTCTGTCTCCTACTCTAGGAGTATGTGGGCCAGTGATCACAGAGCTCAGAGTTTATAGAAGCCTTAATTGCCTGTAATTACAAAACTGTGAAAATCGTGCTATGGGAACTCTGGTCTCTCTTGTTGGCTGGGACAGGGCTGCTCCAGGGATAAGTCCTCATGGGCAAGAAAGAACCACAGGCTGGTGGAGGAGGACTGTGAAAATGCCCCAGCAGTCTGGACAAAGCAGGCTGCTTCCAGTTTTTCAAGTCCTTGGATGTTGGGGGAGGAGAGAAAGAATGTCATGGGAATGGCTTCATGGAGCTTTATGTTTTGTATAATTTTAGGATTGTAGGGCTCTTTGGAGCAACTGTTATTCATTTATCCCACAAACTTACTGAGTGCCTTACCACCTACCAGGCAATTGAACCCAAGTTGCAGGCAGAGTAAATGGCTTGCCTGAGGATTTGCAGGGACCTCACTTCCAAGCTTGAGCCAGAAACCAGGGACTTGGACTCCATGTTCAGTGTCCTTTGGTGGGTTCTCTCTGGCTGGGAAATAGAAGAGAGGCTAGCCTCTTCTCCCAAGGCACACAGAAAGTCAAGGGCAGAAGCAGGGAGTCTTGAAAACCTAGGGTTCACTAGCCGGCCACAGCCCTCAGCTGTGCTCTCTCCCCTCAGGTATGAAGAAGAGGTGGTCCTCAGGGCCACGGCTGAGAATGAGTTTGTGGTGCTGAAGAAGGTGAGTGACTATTTCCATACGTCAAGCAGCTAACTCTTGGATGGTGAATCTATGAGACTGGGCATCTTGCCAAAGTCATGTCAATCCATTGGGGTGGCGGGCACTCAAGTCTTCTGGCCAATGGAGGCTGGTCTGGTTTTGGAAGTAAGTCTTTTGGCCTCCATGCAGGAACCCAGAGTGTATTGACCAGGCTTCTTAAAAAGAAAACTTCATCCTACTGCTGTCTGACTTTTTGTAAACTCCCTGATTAGCTGAAATGGTCACTTTTAAACCCATTTCATTCTCATGTAGACATTGCCTCTCGGTGAGTTCTCAGCTTGCTAGAGATTTTGTGAGCTGTGGCAATGGCAGATGATGACATAACAGAAGAAAAACTGCTAATGATTTCCCCTTGACTTTAAGTTAGTGAATTGAAGTGTACACGTATGTAGTTTCACACATAACGTGCTCACCAGCCACCTTATCTGTGAGTAATCACAGAACAGAGAGAAGGCTAGTAAAAATCTGCCATGGAGGTGTAACCTTGGTCTCAGGCAGGAAGGTCAGCTACGTGGGGGTTGGGTATTGCCTGACCTAGGTGCCAAGGATGACCTATTGGGGAGGTGCACCCATGGCTCTGTGGCTACCTCAGGGTCATGTTCCCAGGGCCAGTTTGACTCAGTGGCAGTAGTCTGTGGTTTTAGGTTAGGATCTTAGGCTATTTGTTTAATCAAAACCCCCAATTCTGGAGGAAATGAAAAGTCTGTAGGGGTCAGACTTCACTTCCTGTCTCTTATGGTTTATGTGAAGGGAGGTAAAGGCAGTGGCAGATAGCAAAGGGCCTGTTCCCACTAGTAGGGCCCTGAAAGTGACTTGTAATTGCAGGCTGGATGAGCAGGGTCAGGGGGTGGGCCAGGAGGTGGTGCCAGGGCCCACTGAATGCCCACGCTCTCCTGTCTTCTCCATCAGGACATAGACAGTGCCTATCTGCGCAAGGCGGACCTGGAGGCCAATGTGGATGCGCTGAAGGAGGAGATGCACTTCCTGCAGGCTCTCTATGAGGAGGTGAGTCTCCGGAAGAGCTATTGAGAGAAGAGACAGGAGGGTTTCCTTGGGATGTGGCCTGTCCTGGTTCCTTGGTTCTAGGGAAAGTTGTCCATTCCTTACTCATCTAGGATCTCAACCTCCTTTCCTTTTGTGACTGAGACCTCCTTTCAAAATGACAATGGATGATGGCCTTTCTTTAAAATAATTAGAAAGACTATATAATTCATTGCCTGCCCACACAGCTCAACATGAAGTAGAGACTTGATAATAGAGCTCTATAGATATAATAATTATTATTATAGAAACTTAGGATTCTAATTCTGGCTATTATCTTGTTGGCTGGATTTTTACAGAAAGCTACCACTGATCTGGAGAGCTTAGGCTTCAGAGATAGTCATTCAGTTTATTCCTGACTTTAGGAATCTGCCCCTATTTATCCTAGCATTGATGGAAGTCCACCTTATGCATTGCCTTGAAGCTATGGTTCAGACTCCAGCCTTTTCCTCTTAAAACTATACTTAATATTTTTCTGACTTGTCAGAAATTTTCTAATTTATTTATAAAATTTTCAACTTGGGACTGTGCCTTTGATTACCTGCAGAGACAGGAATGGGAAGAGGATTTGGAGCTGAGGGCCCTGTCTATTGTCTCCTACAGGAAATCTTCGTCCTTCAGTCACAAATCTCTGACACTTCAGTGGTGGTCAAGATGAACAACAGTCGGGAACTCAACATGGACTCAGTTGTGGCCGAGATTAAGGCTCAGTATGACGATGTGGCCAGCCGCAGCCGGGCCGAGGCCGAGTCCTGGTACCAAAGCAAGGTAAACTGGAAGACTGGACTGCCCCACACACCATGACTCTGGAGCTTCCCTGGAAAATGCACCCAGGCACTCAGAGGGGCTGTAGTTGTGGTTCCAGGTTCAGAACTTGGGAAGGAGGTGGGGCTGTTGCAGAAGACTAGGCTAGTTAGTCTGGGCTGGGTGGGATCAGTGACCTCTCAGCACACCCTCCAGCTACCTGGTTATGGGTAGTTTCCACGTGTTTGTCTCCTGACCTGCAGTGTGAGGAGATGAAGGCCACAGTGACCCAGCAGGGAGAGAACCTCCGCAGAACCAAGGATGAGCTCAACGACCTGAACCGCATGATCCAGAGGCTGACAGCAGAGGTGGAGAATACCAAGCAGCAGGTGGGGGACACTGAGGACTCAGCACACCTGCCATTTCTGATCTGCTTTCTGCTTTTCTTCTACCTTGAGGAGCTCCTGCTATCTTTGGAGAGGCTTTTATTTTAATCACCTGCATCTGAAGGACTCACGGTGCACAAAACATTGTAGGAAGAGGGTTGTTCTATCTATTTAAAAAATATTTTTATTGATTTCAGAGAGGAAGGGAGAGGGAGAGAGATAGAAACATCAATGATGGGAGAGAATCACTAATCGGCTGCCTCCTGCACACCTCCCACTGGGGATTGAGCCCTCAATCCCTGCTAATTGGAATTTAAGTGTTCACTTCTCTGATTAACTAGTGACACTGAATGTCTCCTCATACACTTACTAATCATTTGTATTTCACCTGCTAAGAATTGCCTATTCATATCATTACCTATTTTTCTATTGAACCTTCTGTCTTCTTGGTGATTTGCATTATTCTTTTACTCATTCTGTCTAGATTGTAACTTTTAATCAGTTACACCAGCTGCAATTAATCTATTATCAATCTGTCACTTGTCTGTTTGCTTTGTTCTGTTATCCTTTACTGAAAAAAAATCTTTAACTTGGATGTGAACAAATCCATCACATCACTTTTTACCTTAATGGGTTATACTTACAAAGGTTTGAGGTCATAGATTTATTCTCTTACACTGTGTCCTCTACTCGTTGTATAGTTTTACCCCTCACATTTAGGCCTTTAATCCATCTGGAGTTTGGAAGGCAGCTATGCTCACCACTATACCACCGACGCAGCCATCTGGACTTCATTTTTTTTGTATATAATTTAAATCATTTACATATACTGTATCAAAAAAAAACTATATTATGCAATCTATTCTTTGCCCTCGGGCTTGTGCTATCACCTCTATCATAACGCTGAGTTCCCTCATATCCCTGGCTCAGTTTCAGTCCTCACTCTTCTGTAGGTTGTTCTCATCCTCTGTGTGAGATATATCACAAGTAATTTGTTACTCTTAATAGCTGAGGTAATAAAATATGGGAATGGTTTACTTTTCAGAAGTGAAATTAGAGATTACTTGCATTCTGATATGCTTTTAAAATATTTATTTTATTGTGGTACGAACATAGCATGAAAATGACCCTTTTTAACAAATGTGTAAGTGTGCAGCATACGATTGTTGACTAAGGTAGGATGCTGTTCAGTGGATCTCCAGAGCTTATTCATCCTGCATTAGTGACTCCTCATTCCCCCACCCCTCCTCAGCCCCTGGCAACCACCATTCACTCTTTGATTCCAAATCTGACTATTTTATATATTTCATATACTAGTAAGTAGAACCACGTGGTGTTTGTCTTTCTGTGCCTGACTTGTTACACTTTGCACAATGTCCTCAAGTTTCACCCATTTTGCTGCATATTCCAGGATTTCCTTTTTTATAAAGGGTGAATGGTACCCATTTTATGTATAATCCTTATTTTCTTTATCCATTCATCTCCCCATGGACATGTGGGTTGTCTTCACATCTTGGCTATTGTGGATAGTGCTGTGATGAACACAGGAGTGCTAATATCTCTTTGAGTTCCTGATTTTAATTCTTTTGGGTAGATAACCAGAAGTGGAATTGCTAGATCATAGGGTAGTTCTGTTTTTAATTTCTTGAGGAGCCTCCATACTATTTTCATAGCAGCTGCACCATTTTGCATTCCCACTAACGGTGCACAAGGGGTTGCGATTTCTCCACATCCTCATTTACACTTGCCTTGTTTTGTTAATAATAGCCATCCTGACAGGTGTGAGGTAATCCTCATTATAATTTTGATTTGCACTTTTATGATGATAAGTGGGGATTTTGTTTGTTTGTTTGTTTTGTTTTCTATATACCTGATGGCCATTTGTGTTTTCTTTGGAGAAATATCTATCCGGGTCCTTAACCCAATTTTACAATCAGGTTATTAGGTTGATTTTTTTTTTTTTTTGAGTGATGAGTTGTTGGAGTCCCTTCTGCTTTCTTAGGTGGGGCCCAGGGGGAAGCTGCAGTTAGTGTGCTGGGCATTGTAAATGGGAACTTCGTTCATCATGCTCTTCTCAAAGAAGACCCACACAGGGGTCTCTGAAAACCTGGAGTTGGCGCTAATTGGGTAACTTAGGGCAAGTCACAGCCTCTCTGAGTCTCACAATGAGTTTCTGTATAATGGAATAGCAAGGCCTACTCTGACAAGCTGACAGAGTAAACTAAAGGTCAAATATGAAACTAAAGGTCAAACTGTGAAAGTGCCTTGTAATCTAATGACAGTAAACAAGTATAAGATAATATAACTAATTATCAGTCCTATTTCAGTGCTAACAATTTCTCCCTCTTGTGGCTCTTCATGGATTTGAGTTTTACAATAAAATGGTACAAAAATAAAGAAAGCAAGCTCCAAAATGGATATTATTTCCCTTCTTGGTTAATTAAAAATTTGTCCATTTTGAATGGAGGTGACCAAGATGTGGGAGACCCACCAGGATCCCCATAGCCTGCACCCTTCTCAAATTCCTTCCCTCCTCTCCTCCCCCCAGCGTCGCAAGTTGGAGGCCGCTGTGGCCCAGGCGGAGCAACAGGGCGAGGCGGCCATCAGTGATGCCCGCTGCAAGCTGGCCGAGCTGGAGGCCGCCCTGCAGAAGGCCAAGCAGGACATGGCCTGCCTGCTCAAGGAGTACCAGGAGGTGATGAACTCCAAGCTGGGCCTGGACGTGGAGATCGCCACTTATCGCAAACTGCTGGAGGGCGAGGAGAGCCGGTGAGGACAGGCTCGGGGTCACTTCACATCTCAGAGTGCTGGACTACAATCCTCCAGGCTGCTCAAACAGGGAAATACTCTAGAGATCATGGGGTCCAGACACTTCCCCATTTTTAAGATAGAGAAACTGAGGTCCAAAGAGGGGAAAGGGCTGGTCCAAGACCACAGCTACTTAGTGGTGAAGCTAAAACGGTACCAGGCTGTGCTGACTTTGAACCAAGAATTGGAGACAGGTGAAGTCTGCAAGGGAGGGAGCAATGTGGCTTTACATCTGGGATGGTGCATGGGCCTCTAGCTTTGAGGTGGTCACATCGTTACTGCCTCCTAGCTGGGTCCACTGGAGGGGGAACAGGCTGCACGAGGGAGTAGAGTATACAAGGTTAAGATCACAGGCTGAAAGCCAGATCTCCTGGGTTCAAACCCCAGCCCTAACACTTACTAGCTATGAATTCCCATGCCTCATCTGTAAAACAGGTAATCATAAAACCCACCACTTAAGGCTGTTGCATGGATTAAATTAGCTAATGGAACATAGTAAGCACAAGTAGTGCTGGTTATTAGAATGAGAGTATCTCTATCTGAGTAGCCAGGCAGGGCTGTGCCCACATAGAGGCTCCTTATTAACATGGTTAGTGTTAGAAATCTGACATGAGTGGTACCCCAGGCAGCTGGCCACGCTGCTGGATTTGCACCGTGCTTGACCTCAGCAGCTAAACTTTTCTGTCCATTTCCTCAGGACTTTGGGTGAAGCCCCTAGAGCTATCCCCTTTCACCATTAATATAACCCATTCACCAGCATTCTGGGAAGCACTTGGCATTTGCACAGTGACACTTTCATTGTGATAATAATCATTAATGTATTAGGTACTAATAACTTAATCATGTTACGAATAGTGTGATGTCCCCAACACAAAGATTTTAAAAGGTGGTTTAGTGTATTCTACTTTGCATATTGAGGCCATCGGCCTTTTAGTAGACCTGTCCTTTAGGGATCCCAGGGAGCAGTGCCAGCACTGGTGCTGTCTGCAGTGGGTGGACAGCATGCCCCCAGTCCCTCATCTCCTCTCCCCTGTTTTAGGATGGATAATAGGTCTGCTGCAAGGGCAGGGAGCTTAGTTCTAATGCCCACTCTCTCCTCTCCCCTGCAGGCTGTGTGAAGGCATGAGCTCAGTCAACATCTGTAAGTTGGGGTTGTGGGTGGGCATGGTTCTTTTGGGTGTCAATAGTCTTAAAATTAGGTTGCATCTAAATAGTGACCAAACCTCTGTCTGTGGGGCACAGGGAAAAATGGTAGTAGCTGAGGTCTCTGGGATCTGAACAAAGTGATGGTCCAAAATATTTGAACCCTACATGGGTCCATCTGGAACATCCATGGAGCCTAGGCTAATGAATGTGTTAAGTCCTTTCCCCCCCTGCTCCATTTGGTTCTACAAAAATAGCCTAAGTCTTTCAATTTAACACAGAATACTTTCAAGTGGTACATGTTTTAATAAGAAGAAACACTAGATGTCTATACTGATCATTTGGAGCCCCTGCAGGCAATTCTCAAATCTTTCTGTTTAATAATTCAGTGTGTACACAGAACCTAGTCTAGGTGTCTATCTGTTCTCCTCATCTTCCCAACAACCATATTTCTAGATGATTCTTCCACTGGAATCCATCAGATTTTGCTCAAAAATTGAATAAACATATCTCAACATTAGTCTGATTCTAGTAGTTATGTGTCCAATTTGCTAACCAAGTTCCTTCAAGAAGCAAATGGCAGGTTTAAGATTCATGTTGTTGGTCCCTTGGAGTGTGAAGAGAGTTAATTGCTGGTTCCAAAAAAAATGTTGGGTCACACCATGTCTGGGATAAGAGAATTCTAACCCGGTGTCTCCATTGACAGGTGTGAGCCGTTCCCAGGGCGGTGTGGTCTGCGGAGACCTCAGTTCCAACCTCCCTCAAGGCCTGGGGAGCGTGGCCCTCAGCAGCAGTGCCCTCTGCCCCAGCGCCAGATCCGTGCGGTTTGCATAGTCGGGGGTGGAGGCTAGGACTCTGGATGGACTAGGTCTGATAGGGACACGGGTGGGGAGCAGGAGGGGGAAATCTTTTTACTCTCTGGCCCAGAGCAGTTTGGTAATTTGCCCTTGCTGGGAACCCAGACTAACTCTCCAGTTTCCTTCCTATCAGAGTTGAGGTTTACTTTGAGTGCAAATCCTGGGTTTGGCATTATCACCACTTCCATTGATTCCTTCCTCCTGGTGGTCCAGGAAAGGGACCTATAGGCATATATATATATACATATATATATATATATATATATATATATATATATATATATATATATATATAAACTGCTTAGTCACTTTTCCCCCCAACTAACTTCAGGTTAGCAGGTGTTTCCTAAGTACTGACCATGTACCAGGCCCTCTGGAAAGGGAGCCAGGGAGAGGGATGGCAGTGTGGGGGCAGCCTCTGGGCTTTGCACTTGATAATGGGCATGTCTCCTCGGTGTTGAGGGACCATGGAGGGAGAGCAACTGGGGCTCCAGGAGGCCCTCACTTGATCTGAGAGATTGTATGTTCCTAGAGCATCCTCCAACTATTCCTATGTCCGGATGGAAAGACAGGCTGAGGCTAATTGGCTGAAGTTTTTATTGTTGGTGGTTTGGATTTTATTGTATTTGGGTGATTCATGTTATGGTTCCTTCTGTTTTTTTAATGTGTGTGATTAAATGTGGAAGGCTAAAAACTTTCTCCTAATAAACATGTTAACATCTTTCTTCTTACTCTACTCCCCTCCCCACATTCCAGATTGTTTTCATGTTTCTTCAAATGTGGTCCTAGGACCACAACCTATATCAGGGTCTGAGGGGGTTGGGGGAGGTAGAGATGAGCCTAGAACTCTGAATTAAACATGTCCCCACGTGACTCCTGTAAGAACCAAAGTTGAGAACTGCTGGTTTATGTGGGCCGAGGGAATAGAGGTCAGGTCACTCTGACTGGGGAGGGGATTTTCCTCCAGATTCTCACAGGCTCAGGTTCATCTCTGCATTTCTCTTCTGCCAGCCAGTATAAGACATCAGGCTGGGTGTGGTGGAGACAAAGGCAGAAATGGGGAGAGATGGGAGCTTGTTCCCAGCAGCTGCTAAATATCTCATGTATGTAATTCAATCATTGCCATAGCAGCCGTGTTATTTTCATTTTACAGATAAGAAAATTGGGGCCCAGAGAAGTTAAATAGCTTTACTAAGGTCACACAGGTAGGCCAGGATGCAAGCAGAGGTCTAGAGAATGCCAAAATTCCCCAAGACTTTCCATTGTCTTACCCTAATTTTTGCTCCAGGCTAACCTCTTGGCAAGTCAGAATGCTCCCGGACAGGAGGTTCTAATGGATCCTGACTCACTAATCTCACATTGCAGAGATAAGAGATGGAAAGTGACATAAAGGAACCTCCTGGAAACATTTGTAGAAACATCTCCCTATAACCTCTGCTCTCCAAGAATCTTGGACAGATCTTATTATGGAATGCTTAATACAGGCCTCCTTTATTAAGGGAACCCAGAATTAAAACTCAGACCTCTGGTTGGAGGGCATTTTCCCCAATGGCCTGGAAAGGGGCATTGATTTGGTAAACTCAGTCTCCGACCTATTCCTGAACTGACAGTCCCCAAGAGGGGCCACCTGGGGAAGTCTGTTTAGAGTCCCCTCTGATGCAAAGGTATCCCCCGAGATGTGATGAGGTGGAGAGAGGGGTTTCTGATGGGCAAGTTTATTTCACTTGTTTTATGGGAAAAATTTTACTTCTCCCAGCTTATTTGATTTGGGATTAAAAAACAAGATTAAAACAAAGACCTGAATGTGTAGAAGATATTTTGCCGTAAGAATATGTATTGATCTCAAGACATGGAAAAACCTTTGAGTTGTTCCCCCTGGCAATGCAGTTCTTCTGATGTTTCCAGAATGTGTTCTCAGGGAGCACATTGGTCCTCTTGGACTTGGTCTCTTAGGATAGTGGTCCCCTAGTCTCTGCTTCCTGGACCAAGAGGGTCTGCACTCTGGGCACATCATGGTCTGGATCCCACCAAGAGGTAAAACCAGGTTCAAAGGGCTGCCCCAGAGAGGATTGTGGGGAAGCATAGGGGAGGGGTTGCCTTTTCTTTAGATGGTGCTGATGCAGGATGTGTATATACATACGTGTGCCTCTGGTGTTTTCTCCAGTTTTTAATCTTCTGAGTGCTGCCTCCATTTCTCTTCAACCTCTGGCTACTCACCTCTCACCACCATTGTGCAATAGCAGCAAGGAAACAAGAGCAGTCATATTGTGTGGTGGTGGTGATGGTGGTGGTGGTGGTGGTGGTGGTGTGTGTGTGTGGTGTCCCTTTATTTTTGATCAAAGCAGAAATGGGTGGGGATTTCTAGGGGGCAGGAGGGTGGTATGAGGCAGTTGTGGGCTAACCCTCTCCCACTGCAGGTCCCCACACACAAAGAGGGCAGAACTTGGTGCCGGTGTCCTCATTGCTCTAATTTTTGTGAAAAGAGCACTCAATTCTGTCTCCTCTTAATGTCCACATTCCTGAGAGTGGCCGTGGTGTGACACTGGGAATTCCCAGCTGGTCATTTCCTGTGTCCATGTGCATTGCAGAGCGATTTCCTTGATCATGTGGTTAATTCCAGTTTGTCACTATGCTTGGCTCCAGTGAGTAATGACACCAATCTGTGCTTCCTGAGATCCCAACTATGGAAGCAGGGGACAGTTGGATGCCACATCCATCACTACTAGGGTTCAGGATCTGAAGAAGGGGCTGCGTACAAATGAAAACACTAGACAAGAAATATGAATTTAGAAGGCATGGGAGCCAGGTGGAAACCTCACTCTAGAGGAGAAGCTCACTGACTTCTGGCCCTTTGCTTTTTATTTACTTGAATACACATTTGCCCTTAGTAGTGCATATAGGCATATCAAAGGTAAAGTTTGGTAAAAAGTAAAAGGACTATCAGGTTAGGGAATTGCCTTCAACTACTAAGCCCACTAAGCCCACAGTAATGTTATGCTGAATATCAAACTTCATTGGCCTTCCCATGGGTCTTTTTGCATTAATATGCTAACTACTGTTGGTTTTAGCCTCTGGCAGTTGGAGGCACTGGGCTGAGAGCCAGAGCCAGTTGGGAGTGGGTGTTGGTGACAATGGTCCAAAGTGGAGGTGACTTGAGACTTGGCTAGGAGTGGTGGCTACCACAGAGAGAAAAGAAGAGTCCAAAGCCCAAGCCTCCCCAAGTTTTTGAAAGGACTGTATTGCATACTTCTTCATCCTTTGGGGACCCTGTGTACTTTTTTGGGGGAAACTGAATAGTTGAAATAGAGTAGAAAACAGACAGAAGGTCTGATTTTCTCTGATGGAGATCTTAGCTTGGACTGTGGAGTTTCACAGGAAAGGGGAGCCCAGGAAAGAGCGCTGGAATCACCCACATGGACCAACCTTATCTTTTGGGCCACCTGCTCTTCTGACTTCCCTTAACTCTTGATTCCAGACCACTGGGCCTCTCTTTAAATTTTTTTTTTCTAATAAAACTTTAGTTCATAGTTACCCTTGAATTGCACCTTTTGCTTTCAATGGAGAATAGCTCTTTTATCAGGAGAGGCTATGGGAGCCCCAGAATCTTTGAACCAGAGGAGTTTGCTCTGCATTTTGCGGTTGGTTGCAAGGAGGGCTGCGCGGGAACCTACATCTCCAAAACAATGGTGCCTCTGGCTGACTAATCGGTGAACTGGTCTTTGCACACCAAGCATGGGAACTTATTAAAAGCCTATTAATACTCTAAGCTCCTGGCTGTTCAATTTTTTAAATGCATGATGCCATATTGGGGGTATTTGGCATTTTAGTTATGCTTGGCCCAGACTCAGTTACATCAAGGTGTTTTCCCCAAGCCCAGACTTACTCCAGCACCCCAGGACCACAGGAGGTAGCAGGGCTGGAAAGGGTCCCCACGTCCGCAGGCTGATGCCAGAGCATGGAGCCCACTTCTTGCCAAAGGTGTCCCTCAGACATGGCAAAGTTAATGCTCAAATTTTGATCTCCGGACTTCTCAGCCCCTAAGATTTACCCTTTCCTGTGGATGAATGAGGTGCCCCAAATGGAACATTGGCCTCTTGTGACTATGACTATAACCTTCAGGTCCAGACAGGTGGGAGAAAGGAGGGGAACAGGTGTCAGCTGAGCACTCAGAAGAGGCCACTGCCTCCTGTGAAGTTGCAAGTCTTTGGGCCTGAAGTGAGGATTCATAAGAATGACTTAACTTCTCCCAGGAAAGGCTTGGGGATAAGGCAGCAGAGGGGAGCTGGCAGGCGAACATCTGTCTGGAACAGTGTATTGGACTCACCTCCTAAGGATAAATGGAGGTGAGTCCAAGAGGTTTGATGTATACAACTCCTGTTCTACCAGCTGCCTGCATGTATCCATCCACCAAATGACCCAGAGCCAAATCTTAGGACTAGTTGGGTGTCAGAGCCAGGAGGAGACACTTCCTGCCCTCAAGGAACTTCCAGCTTGACTCAGACTCCAGGCACACCCAATGACATCCTGGCCCCAAGCCACAAAGACAAAAACCAGAGATCCTCAGGGTTTTGGACACTGTGGTTCAGGGGGAGGGGGATGTATGCTCATGAAAGGGAGGGAGAGGAGGGAGAGTACAGAGAGCAATGAGCAAAGGCAAATGGGAAGGGGGTGTGGGATGGCCTATGTGTCCATGTGAGAAATCCTTTGTAGAGGGCCACTTGGGAAGGCACATGGGCAGTTTTTATTAATTATCTTCAGCTGAACTCAAGGCGTAGGCAGAGCCACGCCTTGGGAACATGTTTCCCCAAAATGGCTGACATGTTGTCAGCTTGGCCTTCATATTAGCCCAGGTGTTAGCAGGGGTGGGAATAGATATGTAAATCCAGGCATGCTAGGGCCTACTTAAGAATACAAATAAGTTGGTGTTACTTCCTGGTATTGGGGGTATAAAATAAATGTGCTGAGAGGGGTCACGTCATCTCTCCAGCAGTCAGAATGGCAGCCCACCCAGCTCCCAGCTTTAAATCTATTTTTTGTGTCTTCTTTCTTTGTTTCTAATATTTCTCAATCCATGGCCACCTCCACTTAGAACCGATTCATTCATCTCTCTTTCCATGCAGGACGCGGAAAAGGGAGATCCCCATCACATCAGGTCCCTGCAGTCCTTGGTGGCCTCAGAGGGTAGACCAGTCTCCATTAGGTGGAGCCCTCATCTAGGAAGATCAGCACTGGGTGGGCTGAGGAGCAGGTGGGAAAAGAAGAGATGGAGGGAGCATAAGGAGCCCACACATGGGCTGGGAACTGGTTTGAACCAGACGGGAGGGGGTGAGAGTGATGAGTTTGGGATGAGACTTTGGCTGCTGGGGGTACATGAGGTATGGTCAAGAAGAAAGAGGTCATGAGGGGAGCTGGAGCTGTGGTCCAGGTCTGAGTGGACTGAGGAATACTGAGTTGGAATCAAGCTATGGAGTGAACAGGAACAGGCAGAATCACTGGGGAATTGGGGAAACACTGCATGGGTGGGGGTGGGGCTGGAAAGGCTTGGCCAGAGGGAGATGGGGCAGGAGGGAACTGAGAGTCGGAATGCACACTGTGTTCAAAAGCTCACATATCCTTGCATCGCAGCAGCGTTTATTGAAACAGCGATCGAGATAACCCAGAAGGCAAGCCACCCACAGACAGTTGTAACAAGCCAGGGACCCAGGAAGTGGCCTAACCTTCTACATCCCACCTGCTGCGTGTTGGACAGACCCCCTCCTGCACGGGCAAAGGGAGATCTGGAGCAACTGTGGAGTTTTCTTTGAAATGTGTAAAGTGCATTCAATAGCAATACCTGTCTAAAGTCAAAAGGATTTCCCTCCCCTTAAGGGGCCTCTCAATGGGAGATCACGTGAGGAGTCTGGCTGGAACAGGTTAACTCAGAGAAAGGCAGTTAGTCAGAGAGACTAGCATAACACACAAAAACAACCACAGGGCAGGTGCTCCCTGCAGAAACCTTCCCAACCAGCAGAGAGCGTTGCGGGATACGTTGGGGGGGGGGGGGGGGGGTAGGGAGACTTCCTCTCTGATTCTCATGTAGTTGGAGACCTGAGGATGGTTAGGCTTGTTTCTTGTTCCAGGGGAGGGCTAAGTTCCCATGATGTCCAGCCACCCTGGTGACTGGTAATGTCTCAGAGAGCTTGGTGAAACAGTGCAAATTGGCCACGGGCATTTCTGAGTTAAATTGGACCTCAGCGAAAGGCTGGGAATGACTCTAACTGAAGCCAAGAGGAGAACCAAGAAACAACTCCCTAAGAAGAGAAGGTGGCGAGACGGCCCCAGGGTCTGTCCCCCAGTAGGAACATGTGGAAAATTCCAGAAGCAAGCACACATTTCCATTCACACACCATCTGTGCACATACGGACGCAGGTGGCCCCAGACTCTATGCAAAGCGGACAGACCGGCTGCTCCCGCAACTGAAGCTGGAGGGGCGCGGCTGGCAGGGGGCGCAGGAATCAGGCGCCATCACCGTGATGCTGCCCCCGGTGGCCATGGGCCCGGAGACAATCTGGCGTCCCGGGGTGGTGCTACACGTGAGGCCCCCACAGGTGACTCCGCCGCGGGAGCTGCTGACGCCTGTGGGAAGAGGGGACACCTTGGGGTGAGGGGCTCCCCAGGATCTCACCAACCCCGTGACAGATGCCAATTGGCTTTCACATGGCAGGCGCTTCCTCCTCCTCAAAGTGGTTAATAACTCATGCCCAGCTCCTCTCAGCCTCTCAGCCCTTTTAGGGGGCTGGGGCAAGAAGGGCCAGGGGACCCTGGGGACCCAGAGGGGCAAAGCTGCTTGGCCCCATTTCCATGGCCTGCAGTTCACTTCTCCACCAGGGAGGGCGCTCAACTCTTCGTGTCCCCAGTGAGACTCTAGGGAAGATGAAAGGAACTTTCCAAATTCATGGGGCTAGTCTGTAGGGTTCAGCTTTGCCCATCAACAAAGCCATTTTCTAGGGGGTTTCCAGCAGATACTTACAAACATTCACAGCGCCCACACCTTCACACAGCCTGTAGAGAAAGAAAATGGTTAACTTTGGACAATGAGCTGGATTCATTGAGATGACATTTGCTTGAGCACAGAGAAGGCCGTCCTGAGTACAGATCCTACCCCCAGAAGCGAGAAGTGCTCCCCCAAGTCTGTATTGAAAGTTCACTTTCTTTAACTGTTCTCTGACCACGGAGACAAGGTCTGATTTTCAGCAGAGGTAGGTGAGATTATAAACTCTACCATTGCTTCCTATTTGGGAGACCAGAGCCATACTGGGTGGTATGATTGGGCTAACAGAAAGCAGTCAAATCACATGCACCTGTGTATGTGAAAGGGCTTTGTAGTCAATGAAGAGCTACTATGGGCATGTATGTGTGCATACGTATAGAACGCATTGTCCTTAAAATGGGCAAGCCTGCCTGCAGCCTCTTGTAGGACCATGGATTTCAGAAGCACATGACTTGAGTGCAGGTCCTGGCTACAGCACTTATTAACTGTGTGGCCAGAGAAAGTCACCAAACGCTGAGTCTTACTTCTCATCTTTGGATGGGAGAAACGATTCCTACCTCATCAGATGGTGAGCACTTAGCACATGCTGAGCGCATAATAGGCATTTGATAATTGTTACTGAAGCTTGACCTGTACTAGTGGTGGGTGGCAATGCAGCTCACACTTTGGCTTAAGGAAATTTAATCCCCCAGAAACTCCTTATACTCCACAGGTCTTTCTTAGCCCCACCTGTGCTCCTCGCCCTCCAGCAGGCGCCTGTAGGTGGCGATCTCGATGTCCAGGCCCAGCTTGGAGTTCATCACCTCCTGGTACTCCTTGAGCAGGCAGGCCATGTCCTGCTTGGCCTTCTGCAGGGCGGCCTCCAGCTCGGCCAGCTTGCAGCGGGCATCGCTGATGGCTGCTTCGCCCTGTTGCTCTGCTTCTGCCACGGCGGCCTCCAGCTTGGCCCTCTGCGGGGAAGGAGAAGTGAAGACAAGGATGAGAGAGAAGGCACAGCTTAGTTTTTCCAGGCTGATAGATTAGGGCAGGGAGTGGAAGGTCCCAGAGAAAAGGCAGGTTAACTCCCTATGACCAGGTAGTTAATGGGATGTACACATGAAGGAGGAGATGGGTAAGCCTCTCACCATCTCTCTTTAGGGGTGGTCACAGGGTGGCCAAGAAGAGGGTCCTCAGTGATACAGCTCATCCCAGCTCAAGTATGTGATGTGGGAGAGCCCCTGCCCACTCTCTGGGTCACGTGCACACTGTGAAGCCTGCTTCACAGGGGCCAGAGGGCAAAGGGCTTGGTGCTGCCGTCTGCCTGTGCTCGGCACCTGAGTGCTCCCCACACCCGTACCTGGCACTTGGCGTTCTCAATCTCGGCGGTCAGCCTCTGGATCATGCGGTTCAGCTCGTTCATCTCCTCCTTGGTGCGGCGCAGGGTCTCCCCATGACGGATCACCGTGGCCTTCATCTCCTCGCACTGAGGGGAAGCAGAGATGCCCCTGAGGCTCAGGATGAGACATCCCCCCCTCCCCCGCCCCCATTCAGGACACCGTGGATGTTAGTGCAGGCTGTTCAGTGATGAGCCTGTGCAACCACCCATGGCAGCCCTGCTCTGCCCCTTCACCCTGAGAGCTGTCTGGCCTCTGTTACCATCCCTAGGATAACAATCCCCAGACAAAAGCAGCCTTTCCTAATATATACCTCACATCCTCCCACGGCCATGTCTAGGAGGCAAGTGTCCTGTGCCACTCACCTTGCTGCGGTACCAGGACTCGGCCTCGGCTCGGCTGCGACTGGCGACGTCATCATACTGGGCCTTGATCTCAGCCACGACGCAGTCCATGTTCAGGTCCCGGCTGTTGTCCATCTTCACGATGACCGAGGTGTCTGAGATGTGGGCATGGAGAATCTGGAGCTCCTAGGGGATCAACAGCCAATGCATTTGGTTCTGTTGCCTGGTCTGTGCCATGTGCTCCACCCCTGGGGGCTCTGCCCACTCTCCGGAAGGACACAGCTACCTGACTGCTGCTCCCCATGTTCCCACCTGCTTTCATTCACACACAGTCACTCCATAAAGCAGCAAAGCTGGAAGGGGCCCTAGAGGCCAGCTGGGGACAGCCTGTGATTTAACAGATGGGAAAACTGAGGCCCAGCATATGAAAAGGGCCTAACTCAAAGTCAACCGCCAGGGGAATTGGAGTTTTAATCCCAGGACTAGTGATTTTCCCATTAATTAAGATGCCTGTCTAACTAGAAACCCACCCTGATCCCTGCCCCCACATATGTGCTTTCATATCCTTGTGTAGACTGACATGGGCACAGACTACACAGGCACACAATACACACTGCAACATGTGGAAGTGCTCAGACATAGAGAGGCCCGGCTATACACAATCCACAGTCCTCAAACATGTATGCCAGACTCTCAACTCCACATACATACAGATGTCTGTGACAACCACACACATGCCTTTTTTGCTTGTGTGTACATGCTATTTTCATGCTTATATAACACACACATGCAAACACATGCACACAACATACCTTTGTCTTCCCCCTCCCTCCCATCCCCGCCCCAGTCTCCACATCTCCCTCCACTGCCCTGGCTGGTTGGCAGGGGCCCCCTCACCTCGTCATAGAGGCGCTTCAGGAAGCTGGACTCCTCCACCAGGGCCTCCACGTTCGCCTCCAGGTCCGATTTCCGCAGGTACGCGCAATCCACGTCCTGGTGGTGGAGAGGGGAGGAAGGGTGTGTGTGGGAGACCCAATGAAGGAAGGTGCCTCTGTGTTCAGGGTGGTGACCGCGCACCCGGTGGAGGTTTCACAGCTGGGTGCCCCTCCCTGCCTGCCCGGTGACCGGTCCCCTCACCTTCTTTAGAACCACGAACTCGTTCTCTGCGGTGGCTCTCAGGGCCACCTCCTCTTCATACCTGAGTGCGGGCAACAGAGGGGCAGAGCTGAGGGGTTGGTGCTCAAGATACCAGCCCAGTTCCCAGGTGAGCTCTTCCGGGGGTCAAAAGGGATGAACTCCCCGCAAATGTTATCTTGTTCTCCTCATGGTCTCTTGTGTGTGTTATTCAGGAGCTAGTGCCGTGCCAGCCTAGCTTGTTCCACCCCAGGTCTGCTTGTGGGATGAGATTAGGGAATCTCTCTCTACTCCTCAAGTCTAGATCCAGAGAGAGTTAATGCCCTGGGCAGGGCGAGCACAGAGCCCATGACATACAGGTGAGCTGGGAGGGGCAGAAACAAAGATAGCTGCAGATCCCACTGGGATTCCTCCCCTCACTCCTCTAAACCAGCTCTGAGACCCACAGGACCTCCCAGCAGTGGAAGTGAAGCCAAAGAATCCAAAGAAATCTAGGTCTCTCCTGGATATTCCCTGGGGATCTAGGTAGCTCCTGTTGATGGCAGGAATCTTAGAGAAGCAGCTTCTAGAAGGTTGTGGGTGAAGCCTTCACCTTCCCCTATGTCCCCTCTGGTTGTGCTGGACTCACTTCTTCTTGTAGCCCTCCAGCACCTCCTGCACGTGGTTGAGCTCCGAGGCCAGCCTCCCGCTGTCGGCCTCCACACACTCGGCCTCCCGCCTCAGCGTCTCGATGTAACCATTGAACAGCGGCTCCAGGTTGCTCTCACAGCAGCGCTGGTTCTGGTAGTACTGCCACTTGGTCTCCAGCAGCTTATTCTGCTGCTCCAGGAAGCGCACCTGCTCAGGGTGTGGAAAGAGAGATGGTGGGGAGTCTGGGGGGTGCATGGTACACAGAGTTCCCTCTACCCGGATGTTCCCTGAACAGCCAGGTCCAGTCAAGTGCTGAGCCATTGGGTTGAGTGTCTGCAACTCCAAGGCCCTGACCCCCCCCGAAGGGAGGCTGAGTGAGTGTGAGGGAAAGCACTCAGGCTAGACGCCAAAAGTCTGGTTCAAGCCCCAGGTGTGCCACTCTACGTAGGAAAGTTGTCTAACCTCTTGGTGCTTGGTTTGCTCATCTCTAAGATAGATATGATGATAGTACTTTCCTTAAAGTAGTGAAAATTGAACAAGTTAATCCCTGACACATAGTGCTTCACTAGCTTAACTATTACCAAATTCACTATAATTAACAATTATTATAATTAATTTATTAATTTATGAGACACTTACTGAATATTTACTATGAATACCAGGGCCTGTGCTAGGATACGCACACACTCACACACACTTCCATCTATATCCATAGCATCTATATCTATATCATCTATATCTACATATCTATATCTATTTCTATATCTATACCTATATTTACTATATCTATATCTATATCTATATCTATATCTATATCTATATCTATCTATACCTACTCTTTCTCTATCTATTTAATTTAATCCTTACAATCCTTGGGGTGGGGAGATGTTATTGCCATCCACATACAGATGGGGAAACTGTACTTGGTGTGAAATCACCAGCTTATTGCCACACATTGATTGATGGAGCCAGGATCTGCCATCCTTTGAGTCCTCTTCACCTGCCCACCACAGTGCACCTAAATAACTCATCTAAACTCTCTTATCTTCAATTTGTTATTGAAAAAGTAAAGATAATATACTCTATTGGGTCAGTTTGAGGATTAACTTAGATCACTACAGAGAAAGTGTTAACATAAGGTCACCCTGTCACCCTCAGAGCCCCCGATCCCAGACCTTAGAGCCTGGGTCTGTGTACACTACCAGAGTGAGGCATCATGGATGCCGAAGGAGCCAGTGCCAAGGGAGGTGCAGAGGTGGCCTTTAGGTGGCATTTACCACACTGTGCCAGTGGGCTGCCTCTCATCAGCCTGCTTCCTTCCCTTCCATAGGCCCAGCCTGGCATCAGTGAAAGAGGCTGCTGAGCCTGCTTGGATAGCGGTCGCACCTCCTTGCTCACCACCATCCTTGCAAAATAATCCTAACAGCTAACACTATGTGCCCACATTTTTCATGCCTGAACCCATAAATCCCCATAACCACCATTTGTCTGAGGTCTCAGACTGCAGACGGGCAGAGCAAGGATGGGAGAGGCACGGGGCTCCCTGCCATAGCCCAGCCGCTTCCTGTGCTGCCTGGGCCGTGAGCCACATGCCTTTTGTTCTCCCCACTCGTGCCCATTCTTTCAGCACCAAACACCCAGTACCCAGTCCAGTTTTTCAGGGGCAGCTCTGATACTCCCGTGTTATCTCAGAAAGCACACAAGCACGTTAGATCGCAGACTTGATTTCTGACCGCTCTGGGCCCTCAATACACTTTGCTGGAATTAAACAGTGAAAATCAACCTCCCCTCCCTGCCTACAACGGTTGCATTTCCCTCCCTCGGCTGTCTCATGCCTGGCTCCCATGCTGCATCCCCAACAGACCAGGACCTTCCCGTGGGAGGGCAGGGCTGGAGCCTTCTCTGGACCATCCTGGGCCTCACTGACCTTGTCGATGAAGGCAGCGAACCTGTTGTTGAGACACTTGATCTGCTCCTTCTCCTCATGCTTGATGCACTGCGCATCGGGGTCGATCTCCAGGTTGAGGGGCGTGAGGAGGCTCTCATTGACGGACACGGTGGTGATGCAGGGCGGGCTGGGCCCGCACACGCCGCCTGAGCGGTATCCGAAGCTGCGTCCGCAGGAGCCGGAGCGGAAGCCGCCTACCGCCATGCGGGGCCCGCAGGCACCCAGGTGAGAGAGGCTGCGGCTACCGAAGCCCCCGGTCAGCCCCCGGTAGCAGGATACCCCCTTATAAGGTGCGGCGGTGATGCAGCAGCGATTGCCGGTTTTGGGGGCCACAGCCGAGCAGGAGCTGAAGGTCCTGGTGACCCCACATCCCGGGGTGATCCGGTAGGAGCGGCAGGACATGGTGTGGGTCTGAGCAGAGCCTGAGCCAGCGGGCCTCCTCCAGGGCTGTAGGTGTGCTGCTCAGGTTCCTCTGGCCTCGCTGGTCCTTCCTGGTCCTTTTATTGGAGGGGAGAGCGAGGGTTGGCGGCATAAAAGTAGTGAAAAGGCATTTATGTTGTTTATGGGCTTGGGGAGTTTGCCAGCAACTCCCCAAAGACTCGTCTTAAAGGTGAGCTCAGCGGCGACTCTGGGACGGCGTAAAAGTGTTGAAGATGTTATTAGGAACACTGTGTGTTTGCACTTTTCATCTTCAAAGCTCGCTCACATGCATTAAGCAATTAATTTTCTCATACTCTCCCTGGGAGATGGCCTCAACCCACACCTGGACACGGATGTGAACTCCACAACAGTCTCCGTGGCTGTTTGGGGTATAGGCAGGGGCCCTGTCTCAGGGGGGAGTGCTAGGGGCCCAGATTGGGTGACACCATGAGATGCTATCACCTCTTTCCTCCTGGCTCCACGAAGTGTCCCTTGTCATAAAAATCATTGAGTTTCAGGGGTCTGATAGGTTAGGCAAACTCATTAGTCAACCGAGCCAAATATGAACAGTACAATGATTGAAATTTCTTTTTTTTAAATTTCTTTATTGATTAAAGTATCACATATTTGTCCTCAACCTCCCACTCCAAACCCCCCTCCCCCCTTCCCACTTATACCCCTACCCCTCTATTGTCCTCGACCACTGGTTAGGTTCATATGTATGCACATAAGTCCTTTGATTGATTTCTGAAATTTCTTTTGAGAGCCAAATTTTTTAAACTTAAACTTCTTTTAACACCACTTCTTCAAAAGAGACTCATCCAGGCCGTGGTATTTTGTGGAAGAGCCACACTCAAGGGGCCAAAGAACTGCATGTGGCTGCGAGCCGCCGTTTGCCGACCACAGGGTTAGGTGAACCTAAACCCACCTGGCAGCATTGCCTGGGAGGTGGGTCAGAACAGAGGGGCCATTCTGACCATGCTCCCTGAAGATGGGGAGCACAGTCTCTTAGAGCCTTCTGGATTCCAGCCCAGAAGACTCTGCTTCAAAGCTTTCAAACCTGCAAACCAGGTAACTTTCAGTGGCCTCAATAACAGCCACTTGTGGGTAATGGGGAGCCTCCCCTTTGGCCACTTTCTCCTGCTGGGCTAGGGATGGAGAACCCTAACCCGGGGTAACCTGACTGCTATGAACATGCTCTGGGCACCTTCCCTTGACTATTAAAGAAGAAACAGGCCCTTTGAGTCTCTCCCAAGATCACCAGCCAGAGGAGGTACTCAAACTGTTATCCCCCCTAGAGGAACATTTAGAGTCTGCTGGGTGGGACGGTGGCTCTTCTTGTCTAAGCACTGATTTCTGGCTCCTGGGGGCTCTGGGATGCTGGCTCTTTCTAACTCCCCTGCCTTCCCGTGTGTGTTGGGGACCCTTATTGGAAACATGGTTGCTATTCTCTTCAAGTTTAGTAAGCACAGACCTGGGAGATGTGGTCCCTGCTCCTAACGGAGGTTAGCTAGACATCCGAGGTGTTAGGAGCCACAGCTAATGTGAAAGTTGATGAAATTCCTTTGAGGGAGACAGCTCCCAGAACCAGACACTGCCACTCTGTCACCTTTCCCCGAATCTTCCCTCCAATGCACGCCGTCCTGTACCAGGTCTGCCCTCATCTCTACGGTTGGACCCCTCGCAGGTCTTAGCGGGGATCAGGCTGATTGGTTTCTGTCTCCACATTCCACACCTGTTCTTCAGAGTAGGACAGAAGGGCCTTGGGCAGCGGGTGCAGGAGCAGGTGGCTTCATGACGGTCCCAGGTGATGTTCAAAGCAGAGTCACCTCTGGGAAAGCTGCTTGGACTCATCCACCTGGGAGATAGAACCAAAGTTGGAAAACCTGGTTCAAATTTGGACTCTTTCTAGTTGTGTGGCTTTGAGGAAATTCTTAAGCTCTCTGAGCTTCCATGTGTTTTGGCTGTAATGTGGAATTCCTCCTTACCTCTCAGGGTGTTGGAAGATTTAAGTAGATAATAACACACGAATGTGCTTTGGGGACCAGAATATTCTGCATAAATGAAAGGGACTCTTGCTTCCTATCAGAAGCCCCCGACCCCCAACCTCCTGCACCCCTCTCTCAGCAGAGACTGGGCCTGTTCCTTGCCCCACCCACAGCCTTCACCTCCTCTGTGTGTTTATGACTTCTTTACGGTTCCAAGGCTCCTTTCATGTTTTCTTTAACCTGATTTCATTAGTATAAACATTTGGGGTGGAGTCTGGGGGTGGAGACAGGAAGCTATATTGAGGAGCACAGGGGATGGTTTCCTACCTCCACCCCTCAGCGGGGGCTGAGCTGTCCGGGGTCCAAGGGTGTATTTTGGTGCCTTGGACAGTGAGCTCATGGACTGACAGTTGTGTGGACCTGGAGCTGAAGTGTGGGCCAAAAGGGATTCGGCTCTTTGAAAGTGGGGAGGAGGGTGGTGGATGAGTGTGGGAGGGAGAGGAAGGGTGAGTCCTCTGCTCAGCCCATAAAACCTCCCCATCTTCTCTCACTTGTGAGCCTCTGCTTCCTTCAGCTTATTGAAGAAGATGGAAGCAGATCCATTTCTGCTGCTTCCTGGGGGTGGGAGGGAGTGAAGGTTTTTTCCTATAGGGTGGCTCACGTATCAGCTGCTCCCCTATGCCCCCCTTTTGCGCCCCCCCAACAAAGACATCTCTCCTAAACCTCCACCCTGAATTGGACATGGATACTGAGGATGGGAAAGGGGAGCTAGGGAATCCAGGAGACCAGGGAAGCCCCACTGCTTTCAGAAATAGGTTTGCCCATCTAGGACCAGCAGAACTATTCAGAACAATGGGCACCTGGGTAGGTCTGGGGTGAGGGCAGGCACAGTCTGGCACAGGGATGTGCTCATGGTAAAGTTCGTGTTACTGCAGGTGGCAGCTGAGGCCAGGCCGGGATAAGGCTTCCCAGCATGGGTGTCTGGATGGCACTTTGGATTGGAGGGGCTGGGCTGTTACCAAGTCATTCAGGGCAAGTGAGAAACTCACAGGTCAGACCAGTCTGACCCAGCTGCCCTGGACCCATGGCAGATAGGCCTTTGCCTCATGGTTCTACCCAAGGGAAGTATGTAAAACCCACAGCTCCATGCCTCTCTCTGCCATCATCCACTATCTCTGCTCAGCAGGACCAGATCCCAGTCCTATGTTGGGAGGAGAGCTGGACCTCCCTTCCCTGGCCTCCTTCTCATTTCCTGCCCTTCCTGGGTGACTCCAATCATCCCCTTCCACGCCCTTTCGTCCTGCGTGTTGTCCTTCATCACTCTTTTGGTCTTGTACTCTCCAGTCCCCAAACCTTTTGAAAGTCACACCCAGTGTTGAGAATGCCCACTCAAGAACCCATGTCCTTCCTGTAATTTAAACCGCTCCCAAGCAGTTACCTCTTCCAGGAAGCCTCCAAGAGTTAATTGAATGAGAGAGCTTGTTTACCCCACCCTGGAGCCCCAGGCAACTTCCCCCACTCCCTCTGAAGCTGCTTCCTTCCTCTGGTCCACCTCCCCGGGGGTTTCCCCAGAGGCCTTACCATCCCCATTGGACCCACCTCAGGTGAGTCATCCTGCTCCTGCATGTTACCTATGCTTGTTGGGGGAATGCTTCTCTTCCCGATTCTAGGGGCTCACTATCTTCCCTTCCCTTTTGCTGCCCCTACTATGCTTACTTGTTTCCCCTCTCCCCTGCCCTTTCTAGAAATGCTCTGGACTTGTCCAAACATAAGGAAGCTCAGATACCTTCCTGTTCTGCCTGGTAGACCCTTGCGATTCTGTATTTTATCTGCCAGGACGCTCATGGATCATCTCACTGTCTTTGTTGGCTAGCTCTCTGGAACAGACCCTGACTAGTCCCTATGGACAAGGCACATCCTGAGCAGGGCCTTGGTGGCTGCCCGCACGGCTTATCCACGTCAGGCATCGCCCATCATCTCTGCCGGTCTTCTCACTCTTACTCTGTGGTTACATCTGCAGCACCTCCCGGTGCTGGGACACAGCTCTCGAAGGGTCTTCTAGTGCTGGGACACATTCTTTGGCTTTTATAAAACTTGGGCATGACTCAGAGACCCCATATGACAGGAGTGAGGTTGGACCAGAAGGAAGGAGCTGGATGAACCGCTGGCCCATCCCCAACACATCAGAAGCTGGGCCCCTCATCCACCAGCACAGCTGCTCCCTGGGCTGTCCCACCTTCCCAGGCTTCTTCACCAGGAACTCGGAAGTTCTCTAGTCTCCCCTCCCACCCCCCCAAAGCAAGCCCACCCTCCTGAGGGCTGCTTTCCCCGAGGCTTTGCGGTTCCCTGTGGCTGCTTTGGGTCACAGCAGGTGCTGAGTAAATCCAGAACCTCTAATTTCAGAAAGGGTCATATTAATGGTTTGGACATTTTTTCTTCATTTATTTTTAGCACTGGAGTAATTTCCCTAAGTCTTAGGATGAAAACGGCTACCTAAAACAGATAGGTGATGCTATCAGCTACTTGATGCTGAGTAGGGATGTTGTTTGAGGCAGACCCTTCGTGGCCTTGTGCTGGGAAGACACACTGGGCCTCAGTGGGACTCAGGTTTCCCAGATGTAGTTCCTGGCCATTAAAAGAAATCGAACGTGTATACATTCAAGGAAAAACATTACAATAATCTAAGTTTAATTTGTTATTTGAAGAAAGAAAATTTTTTTGATAAACTTAGTGCAGCCTACATGCACAGTGTTTATAAAGTCTAAGTAATGTCCCAGGCCCTCACATTCACTCACTCACTGCCTTGCCCAGAGCAGCCTGCTGTCCTGCCAGCTCCATTCATGGTGAGGGCCCTTTAGGGTGGACCGTTTGTTGTCTTTATCCCATATTTTCACTGCTATGTTTAGATATGTATATATACAAATACCATTGTGGTACAACTGCCTACAGTATTCAGCACAGTCCCATGCTGTACAGGCTTCTAGCCTTGGAGCC